AATTTCGATTTTTTTAATATTTAACTATAGTTTTCGTTGCATTGTAGGATTTTTGAAAGAAAATTATTTCACAAAATAGGTTTTTTTTTTCTTTAAAGATAGTGAAGTAAGATACATTTTATCGATTACTCAAAACCTGTGAACCCAATTACAAAATTCCTACGAGCAACAAAAACTATACTTAATAGTTAACATTGTGTCAAAATTTAATTTGTGTAAGTTTATTGAAAAGTGTACTAGTTAGAGATATAACAAGAAAGAGAATGCTGCAAAATAAAACTTTTTGGTTAATTATTCCACCTATAAATTGCCAAACAACTTGATTCAAAAATAATTTTGTTTTAAGCATAATTACATTTTTATACCATAACAACTTTTATGGTTTAAACTAAATAATTTAAACTAAAGCTTAAAGCTTCGGTGACTTTACTATTATGATTATTTTCTTCTTCTATAGCAATAAATTTAAATGGTTTTAATTTTACCTACTTAGTATTTAGCAAGATTGGCCCGCAACTGAATATTTGGATATAAACACACACACAATATATATATATATATGAATAAAAAAATAAGTTAAAAATATAGAGAAAGCATGGAAAATAATAAATATCAATGAAAAAAGAAAAATTATTAAAATAAAATATTAAAAAAAAAGTATATATAAATAAAAAAAGCCAGGAAACAAAAAAAAAATGAAAAGATATAATCTCATCACCAACTCACACGATTATATCATGGAGTGGAGTGCTTTCTAATATTGTATCAATATAGCCTAAGCCAAATATACCAATCCAGTAGTGCAAGTAGAGCTTTAAAAAAAAAAAAAAAAAAAAACGAAATCTATGAAGTGAGTAGGTATGTTAAGAGCATGGAAATGGGCTGTTTATTATTACTTTGAAAACATTGTTTTCAATAATAAGGAAAATTTAAATAACAGTAACAATTTATAAAATTTATCTCAAATAGTTCGATCAATTAAGCAACTACAAAATCTTAGAATTACCCCCATAGACAAAGCTAAGAATAATTATCCAATCTTCTGTAAAAAATTCTATGTGGATCTTTTAAATAGAGTTAAAAAATAGTAAAAATTCCAAACTTAGTAATTTAAATAATAATATCATTAAAAAAAATTTTTAGCTTTATATAAGCGGTTAAAAATTAAAATTAGCAATATACATTTTCTATACTTAATTATCAGTCCAAAATTTCTATAAAATTTAGAGCAATCACATGTGAGTCTAATACTTACTCAACTAAACCTGGCACAATTTTCTCCACTTAAATAAAATTAACAATATTATTGAAGAAAGTTTTTCTTGGATTATCACTAATAATCAACCTATTAATAATATTCCTCAAGTATTCCCCTTTCTAAACTAAAAGATGTTCTTTAGAGTTATTACTACGATTTTAAAAATATCTTTAATTGCAATTTGGATTACTGGGAAATACTAATTAATTTTTGTCTCCTTAATAATTATCTTCACAGGCTTCTATTTTGTTTCAACTTTTTTTTAGTGCTCCTCACACTATTGTACACTTAGGCTATATTGATACAATATTAGAAAGCACTCATTTTTACGGATACTGATATTATATCTGATGATATCTTTTCATTTTTTTTATTGTTTCCCAAATTTCTTAATCTATATTTTAAATTTTTTTTAATATTTCATTTTAATAATTTTTGTTCTTATACATAGTATGTATGTATATNTAATTGTACAAGTCAAAAAAAAAAATATAAAAAAAACTAAAACAAATTTCAATGCAATCAAAAAATTGAATCTGGCAATTCCACAGAGTAAGGTCAACCAGATGACCAAAATTTTCAACTTAATATTTTATATAAATAAGGTATCATTTTAAAGATAAAAACAATTGTAGATTTAGAAATAATAACTTATTTATATTGGTTTTCAATAAGCTACAGGCTGTAAAATGAAGGGCTACATCATTCGAAATTTTTAACCATGGTAAATGAATCTTTAACAAGTAGGTACAGTTTTTTCCAGTACGCTGTAACGAGACCAGCACAAATGTGTAGAAACATTCCACATTTACAAAAAAAAATCTCAAGGTGCACTTTCAATATTTACGACAGACACCAAAATACATAATTGTACTGTGCCACGAAAATTTAACATAATAAAATTATTTATTGTACTTAAAAGCAAGGTTCTAATTTTCATTTGTGTAGATTTTGAAAATAAATATTTTTATTGTAAATTAATACATCGTACACCTCTGCTTTTCTTTTCATTTATCTCATATTTTACTTTTTCTTTATAAAATTAAGTAAAATACAAACAATTTTAATATTCTTTAAGGTCAATTTAGAGTACTATATTTCACATTAGTAACCTAATAAAATATGTTTAACTGCTGTACTTAAAAGTTATTTACTATAACTTAAAATTGATCAATGAAATTTTTTTTTTGTGGTAAGCAACTCAATTTTAAATTTTTGAGAAAACTAAACTTCATTGAGGACTTTTTAAATCTATCATTTTTGATAAAAAAGAGCTTGAAAAGTTTGTATTAGTATTCCTTTTTTCCCCCAGAATATTCTGTAGTTATTTATTTTTTGCATTTCTTTTTTTTCTTCTTTTCTTTGAGAAAGCAACTCACCCTCTTTTTCAGAAATAGTCATACTTAGGTTAGCTTAGCATGAATGCTTGCCACACTCATTCAAATATAAGTACCAAATCTTGCTAATACAAGCAGCGGCATAGTTAGAGCTTACAGCAATGGGGATTAACTCTGTTTTTGTGACCCCCGACATAGATATAATGTATATAGATATATGACTTAAGGGTACTTTCTTGAGTGTTATAAGTTTTTATTCTGTAAATCTAAAATCACTAAATAAATTTTACATTGAATAAGAGTTCACAACTTTTATATCAACGTAACTCGCCAAGGTAAAACGTGTTTGCTCGACTTGGCGTAAAACTTGACAGTACACATAATGTATGTAGTTTCTATTACGGTTAGATGTTTATTATTTTTAATCGAATGGTAAGTGATCGAATGATAAATTATAAACAAGCAAAACAAGCTACATTAATAATACAAATCATATTAAATGTTTTAGTAAATCTTATAAAAATTTGAAGTAGTTATTGGGCCCATAATTATCCTGTTAACTAGAGGAGTNATTTTTAATCGAATGGTAAGTGATCGAATGATAAATTATAAACAAGCAAAACAAGCTACAATAATAATACAAATCATATTAAATGTTTTAGTAAATCTTATAAAAATTTGAAGTAGTAATTGGGCCCATAATTTTCCTGTGAACTGGAGGAGTGGGTTATTTAAAAGACAAAAGAATGAATTTGAGGCATCTATAAGGCTGCACCCAGGGACGTGCCAAATAAAATTATCAGTTTATTTGAAAATACTACCATTACCTGTATAAAAACATTGTAACAATTTGTTTTTGCCAAAAAAGAACAGACTGATAACATTGTTTAAAAAAATTTCTTTTATTTTAATGTACAATAACAAATTTTTCAATAGATATTTTTTTATTGCATTTAAAAATTGTGAAACTTTTCTGGATGAACTAAATATTTGATATAAAATTTGATAATTTTTTAAATCAGACACCATGGAACTGCCCAAATACTACTCATTTTTATAGATAAGATAAAAATTCCCAAAAATATTTTTTAATGTTCTATGATAATATATTAACTTAATTTTAAAAATATATCTCAAAGTTTACTTCAGATATAATACCTTTTTGAAATTATATGAATAATTTTATTTCATAAAAACTGATAACTATGATGCATGAAATCAATAAAAAATTTAAAACACTACAATTTGTTTAGATCTGAAAATGAAAAATGTTTACCATAGCAAAAGGTAAGCAGTTGTAATGAAAATTTGATCAATAAAAATAATTTAATTTAAATTTAAAAAAAAATATTTGTAAAGTTTTACAAGATCCAGTGCTGGACAGATTCTACTTTTAACATCCTATTAAGGACACATTAGAATGCTATCAAGAGAAGTTAAATGCATTTCTATTTAAATTAAAAGTTAATTTAACTAAATTATGTAACAATTAATGTTAAAATTAGGTTTTTTATCGATTATTGTTTGGAAGGCTTCATTTTAATGACAATTTTCAATTATTTTATTCTTGAAATAAAACCGAGTGAACTAATACAATAATTTTTGAGAAAAAAACAAGCAAGAGAAAAATGGGTTTCTTTAAAAAAGGCTCTCCTGAAAAAACTAATTCCTTCAGAATCAGACCCCACTTTTGCAAACCATATTTTTGAAGAGCCTCAATAATTAGTAATAAATCTATAACTATTTTTTTTCTTCTCTTTTTATCTTGAACTGCCAACATTCAAATTTTCTAAGAAATTTCATTTAGCTACAAAACCATTAAATGGAAAAAGCGATAGAAAAAAGTTTTCTAGTCAATTAGCGTTATTTTCTTTCTTTCTTCCTTTTCCGTGATAAAATGTGTGCCCATCAGTAGGTAATTTTAAAATAATAAGGACGGGGCCCAACATATAAGGATGGTCTCATATTAGTTTTGATTAAATGCCTTATGTTCGCAAAATGATTGGTTGAAACAGTCTATGATTACAAGTTGTATATTTTGCTATTTAAACCTACAAATATATTTGATAACATTTAATACTTGAAATTTAAGCTCTTTATATTATGAAATCCATACTAAGTTGCAAATAAATATATTAAATAAAAAGTTTTTAATGAAGAAAAGGGTATATATTTTATAAATATGGTTGTACTAGAATAGTACTGTGAATCACTTTTTTTTGTAATGCTCAGTATTAACAACAAGATGTAAGCACAGTAGCGTATTTAACAACAGGTAGTAATTTCTGAGACAACAAAAATGCACGAAACATAATTATACTTTAAAAGACATACTCTTTACTTGGAAGACTAACAAGATACAGAAAATATTTAATGATTTGAATCTTTAGGAATTCAGAACTTACCTCAAAAAAATCGCAAAGGTATCCAAAATATTAACGTAACTTGAGGTAAAGTGACGCCCAACAGTGAAATTTTCGTTTTTGCTAATCCACACGTAACGTTTGACAGGTTTTGGCAAAAACGTAAACACTCAAAATGTGCACAAATATTCTAAAAACTTTCATCTATTAAATGTTTCACCAAAATGGCACACAAACTATGTAAAAGGAAAAACATGTTAATGTTAAACACGAGTTAGAACCTTGCATGAATTGTTTTGAAAACGATGGTAAAACAAGTTGTAAAATTTTGACTGTAAAAAGTTGACGAAGGGAAAATGTGAGCGACACGCCGATGCAGGGTTACTATAAGGGAAAAGTTCGATTTTTACGCCAAAATCAAACTTGATCTATCAACAGGTCGCCAATATCCCGGAAATCAAGGGGTTACAGAACTTTCATCAAAGAGTCTTACACTTTTTGGCAGGTAATAAAACAGCTGCACTACTAGAATAGTCGGAAATGACGAAACACGATAGTTTACGAAAATACAATGAAGAAAAAGTTTATTCTCCGCTGAGAAAACCTATTAAAATATTTCTTTGTAACGAAAAGTTTAAAAAATTCTTTAAATAGGAACAATATAAGTATTTCCTTTCTATTTACATAATTTGAAAGTGACACACTATTTGTTATTTGCTGACTATTCCCGCAAAAATATTTATATTATTTTTGTCCATTATACTTCTTTGAGAAAATAACGTAAAAATAAATTATTAAAAAATATTTAAATCTATTAGAAATAAAACCGAATTTCTTAGTTCATCGAGGCTCAAAAAAATGTATGATCGTTTAATAGGAATAATTAGTTTTACGTTTACATAAATTTATAAATAATAAATATAGCGTTTAGCTTTCTGTTTGAAAGAGCTCAATGAGCATTGCTTTTGCTGAAAAGAGTGAGAAGCCATACATTTTGTGTGCTTAAGAAATGTCTTTTTCAAGTATGATTTAACAAAAATTTAAATAAATATTTGCTCAAACTTACTACGATTTCATAATTTACTAATGTTTCAGATAATTAAAAAGCATTCTGTTTTGTATATTTGATTTAAAGTTACGAGCCCCTGATAGTTCTCTGTAAGTATCAAATTGTTATGTGCACATTTATGTTATTTCGAGGGAGATTAAAGTATAGTTCTTGATAATGTTTCATTTTTATAAAAAAAAAAAATTAAAAAATGGTGCACATTTCAAAGAAAATTTTGTTTATTATTTGTGAAAATATACACTAAATTCTCAATAGTAACCTCCATTCTAATTTTTTTTGTTCTGCATTCCAAGCGAAATTCCTAAAATTAGGAATTTTGGAAGTCCAAGGCCTGGTTTACGAAATACTGGTTATGACTGACCACCTCTGGACACTAAGGGGGGAAAAAATTTGGAGTTTGAAATTCAAATTTTATTTTTAGAAATTATTATTTTTAATATTTTTTTTACAAATACTTAAGAAAATATTAAATTGTGAGAATAAAAGAAAAAAAATTATAATTAATATTTTTTTTCTTAATTTTGTGGAGGCTATCATGGTTTAAATGCCCTAATTCACGAGTCTTCCACGAAATTTTTACTTTTAAGACGGCTGTGGTTTTTCTTTCAAATTTAGTAAAACACATAAAATGTCCACTTATTAGAGTAAAGATATATATTATGTATTTAAAACAATTTTAATTAATAACAATGAAAAAGAAATGGTTAAAAACAAAACTGTGAAGTTGAAAAAAAAATTCACAGAAATAGGAACCATAAACACGATTCCGGTTAAAAGTTAAATCCTATAGGTTGAAAGAAGAAATGGAGTTTTTGTCCTTTAGAAAATTACTTGGACAAATATTTATAACTCATTTGCGAACAAAAACCATTTTGTAAAAATAAAATTACAAAAACTTCCAAAACTAAAATGATTCGTTGATAAATGATTGATAAAAAATAATTTAAAAGACACGTAAATGAATCATTTGTGATAGTTTCCTAGTGGCATAATATTTTCAAACAAATATTTTTGCAATAAGATATTTATAAATGTGTGCGTATGAGATAGCTTTCTTTATAATTGTTTTGTACAGTTTCAATATTTTGTAAAGTTTTTTTTCATCTGTTATGTTATACTATGAAATACCTCTCATCTAGCTTAGAGAAAGTAAAATAAATATTTATGGAGTCATAACATTCCAAGGATTCAGTAAAAGTTTTAGTAGAGTATAAGGGAGCATCAGCGGAATCGTGTATTTGTAACGACCACAGATCTGGTGAAAAAATAAAGTTTGATTGGATTGAATATAATTTGTTTACTTTAACACTGAGAAAACTTCTCATAAACACTCTGATTCATTGGTTAATGGAAACAAATGCTTTTAATAAAGGGTTATTCGAAGAAAAAAGAAAGAAGTCAAAGAAGAAGAAGGACGTAATTTGACTTTTCATTCTAAATATTGTAATTGAATGGTTATAAAATAATTCTTTTTGAACTATTCTCCAGAAAAGTTTTTAACAATTACATTTTTTAAAGATAATGACTGAAAATGAACAGGTGTAGTGCACTATATCATTGTTTCCAAGAAACAAAATATTATAAAATATTTGGTTTTTAAATTTTTAGCAAACGATACTTTAAAAATAAAAGAGGATTATAGAAAAGAAAAAAAAAGAGAGAAATTTAAAAAAAAAAACTTTAAATAGCGGGTAAAAGAAAAGAAATGAACTATTCTCCAATAATAAAGTTAACGAAACTTTTTAAAAAAATTCTTCGGAAACTAAAAGTAGTCCGCCCTGAATATAAATCAGAATGTCGAAATAAAAACACTTATTCCATTTATTTTTCGAAAAACTCATTCGACTCTTCTTGTTTTTAATTCCCTCTTCGAAGGCTTCCTTTTATAGAAAAGAAAAATATTCCATTCTTAGAAAGAAATTTCTAAGAGAAGTGAATGACTTAGATAAAATTAACTGAATTTTCAAAGCACAGTATTTAGATATATAAGTAAAAAATAATATAAAAATTAAATTACATATATAAAAAATAAATAAATAAAATAAAATGCTTTTTAATGAAAACAATACTTTTTTACAGTAAACTTCAATGGGTTACAACTGAAATATTTTATGATTATGATTACAGAGAAGAAGGGAAAGGACAAATTTATCATAATAGGGGAGAGATACAAATATGCCTCATAATGTATGTCTAAGAATAAAATCCGTTCATCCCTATTATAGAACAAAAATAACTGCCTCCACAGACCACACGGTGACTAAATATAAAAAAATGGCTATTTAAAAAAAATTTTTTTTTAATTGCCTAAGTTATCGCTTTGTTGAAAATCGCCGAAAATGCAAGCCATTTCATACTTTTTTTCCTTCTTACATAATTTATACACGGGAAAGCTGTAATCATTCCGGCACGTTCAGGTTACTTTACGATGGTTCAAAACTTCAAGAGGACCTAATTTAGTTGTCTAGGATTTAATGAATAATAATTATTTCATACTATTTTTTTTAAATTTATGACTGAAAATATTTAATAGTAATCTAATCAATATAATTTCGTCATTACGATTTCAACTTATACAGATTTATTTTTCGATTCATAAATTTTTTATTTCTTTAATAAATTTGATTCAAAATTTCAAACCCTAAACTTTATCAGTTATATACCATACTAAAAATATAACATAAACCTATAGGAAGAAGTCAGGAAGTTTTTTCCCTGTAGTGTTTACTATATTTTGAGAAGTACTTCAGAAGAAATGCTGCGCAATAATATTATTAGTTTTTTGTATAGTCTAGACTAGAATATTCAGTTTTTAAAAAGTGGTGGCCATTACAAAAATGCGATTACAGGCTGCACTGACCGGCAACAAAATTTCCTAAATTTGTCTTTCCTCTCCTCATTATGGTAAATTTAATGCGTATATACTATATATATATATATATATATAGATTCAAAAAGAAAACAAGGGAAAAATTACAGAAGAATGAAAAAAGGGGAAGAAAAAAAAAAGAAAAATAATAATAAAAATAACAAAAAACCGGGAAAAAAAGACTGAAAATGTTAAAAATCCGGAAGATAAAAGATATAATCTTTTCACTTTACATATTCTTTTAATTCTATTCATTTCATTAAAGGTGGTATTTAAATAGATGTTCCTAGGAACATTAGAATACCAATTAGTTTATTTATATTAAAATTAAAATCATTTCTTTTATCGTATAAATCAACAAAGCAGATATTTTCTTCTTTTATAATACCAAAATCCAAAAAATTGAAATTAATATTATCATCATGATTACGAAGTAAGATTAATTCCTCAGGGTATATATCACTCAATAAAACAGTAAAATCTTGGAAATTAAAGATAATTAAGTCATCAATATATCTAAAAACAAATTTAATACTCAGAGTAAAATTTTTTTCATAATAATGCAAAAATAAGTTAGCTAAGAGAGATGAATAATTAGATCCCTGTNAATAAGATAAGAATTCGACCCCCTGTTGAATGAGATAGGTTTCTCCAAACTTCATTCAAGTCAAGGAATTGACATTGATTTCTATGAACTCGCCGCTTACCACCCACATTTTTCCTTAACTCTTACACTATGAATATTGCAGGAAAATGCTAGCCACGCCAGCTTCACAGGCTTGAGAGTAACTGTTGCTTCTTCTAAAAAAATCTTTAAACTTCGAATAAATAAAATTTTATTAATAAGAACAAAAGAAGCTGAAATATTGCACTTTTGATTTATTATGTAGTCAAAATTTTGATTTTAAAAAGCGGCGGCATTGATTTTATTAAAGGATGCTTTTAACATGTATTAATATTGTAACGATTCGGTTCTTGCCGATTTGATTTTATAAAGCGGCTGATTTTATTATCCAGTGATTTTATTAGCGGCGGGCACTGTATATATATATATATATATATATATATTAAATTTTATTCGTTAATAGAGGAAAATGAACAGAAGTTTTATTATTATTTATTCTAGTAAAAACGCCTGCTTTCAGTTTGTTATTCAGATGTTTTTATTCACATTAGCGTCACCACAAGAGAGGGTTTATGATGTCTTTTAACAATCCATTCACAGCCGTAAGATGAAATAAAAATAATGCTTATCGTATTTGCTGATTGACAGGATTCGATGACGTTTCATTGAAAATAAATATTGTAGGAGTAAATCAAGTAGTGACGTTGTTTTCAGTCATACTATTTCGTTTTCCAAAAAAATGTCGCCAAAAGGCGATACTTTTTTTGCCGTGGCGAATGAAATGTTGTGAATGCACTTGTTCTACAGCTTTACCTATCTTTCGCAATTGGAATGCGTGTATAACAGGCGAGCTTATTACGATGAAGGGGGAGGGAAGGGAATACTTAAAAGGTAGCGGGAGTTCCTTCCTCTCCGCTTCATTCATTTAGTGAGAAGAAGAAAAAAAATTGTTTATTAGGTAAAGT